ATTGGGAGCGGTGCATTATGGGCAGCTATCCCAGCATGCAAGTGACTGCAACGTGCTTTTCAAATGGGGGTGGGGTGGGGTGGAGTGTGACAGGGAGTGTGTGGTGTGTATGTGGGAGGATAGAGAGTGGGTTTTTGGGGTGCTGAGAGTGTCTCAGCATGCTGTCTTGTAAGTTCAGACCCCCTTCCCCGCCTACCAAACAGTAAATGTTTGCTTTTTCTCAGAGCTGATAAGCAGCCGGCTTCTCCGAAACGAAGCTTTGAAAGGGCATTTCCGCATTCCTGCAGTCGATTTCACAACAATGACAAGAGTGGCCACTTGACTTATAGGGATTATGGGACGTTTCCAGAGGCTGATCACAGTGCAGTAATGCAACACCTCGTTCACACGGTGCTCCAGCGGGGGCACAGCAAACGTTATTCCACTCGCAGAGGTGGAGTATGTGCCTCGCCAGTGTGGACGGGGAGTGAGCTAGGGCGCCTGGGGCTGCTTTATTGCTTTATTGTAACTCACAAGTGTAGCCAAGGCCTTAGATGCTTCTCACCGCAGGCTGGCTGGTGGCACTTCAGCCAGGCTCTCCCCTTTGATCAGCTCTTCAGTTGCTTGGTATGGTGTCTGTAGATGTAGGTGGAAGAGAGAGCGAGAGAGAGCATGGCAAATGTCTCTCCCTTTTATCATGTCCTTTCTTCCCTCTTGACTTTGCCCCCTCCCCTTCAGAGTCAGGTGAGCATTACCTCATCGCAGTTCCAAACTGACCAAAGGAAGGGGGGTGACTCCCTTGAGAGTCTAACAGATTCTTTTGTTGCTGCCTAGGCCAGTGCCCTTTGTTCCTGTGAGGCTGGGCTGGGTTTGTCCCATCCACACCCTAATGAGGTGTGAACTGACCCTCTGCTTCTGGAGAGTTTTTGCCTGGGCTTGCTTTAAGCCATGAGGATACATTTTCAGCCTCATAACTATATACATGAAATTATAACCTATAACATCACTAACAACAATGCTCGGTACATCATGAGCCTTCGGAAGACACCCGACAAGACAAACTTTACATTGAATACTACACAATCATTTTACAAGGATGAATATGGGGGTGTAGGCTGTTCCCCCTAGGTACAGAGCATCACAGACTGTGTCAACTCTACAACATGATACAGGTCCCACAATCCCCAGTTTGGCCAGTAACATGGGTCACAGGGTGGTTATGGAGGTCCCCATAGCATGGGGTACCAACAGTTTTAAGGCAGGTAATAGGATGCAGGTTGGTCCGGGTCCCAACTGGGAAGGCATGCCTCAGAAGAGGAGAAGTCAGTTCATCAGGTGCTTCACAATCTCCTGAGAAAATAAATGCCAATTCTGGATCCACTGGCAGTACTAAGAGTTCCACTGGAGGGAAGCTAAGGCTAGCTGATATGGGAGGAGTCTCTCTCCTATTCTAAGTTGCATCTTGTGGTGGACTCAGGACCTCTCTCATAAGCAAAGGACCTGATGGTGATCAAGACTGGTGATCTGGGCAAACAATAATGTCCTCAGTTGGAGCATAAGACTCTGCTCTCCCTTAAGTGCCAGACATCCTGTCAGTCTAAACTGAAGGGGTTGGAGCAGTTACTGTTTGTGCCATAGTCAGGTGAGGCAGAGCCAGTACCGTTGATGATGGAGGCTCTCGATGGTTGCCTTTTGTTGTTGCCTTCAGTTCTCAAAGTTTAGGGTTGGTTGGTGCCAGAGGCACTGTTGCCACTGGAGCGTGGTCTGGTGCTGACCGAGCCCTGGATTTATGGACTTTCTTGTCATGATCCTAAGACTTAGGATGTTCTAAGTCCTCCTGGGCTGAGTGGAAAGACTTGCTCAACTTAGGCAGGGTTGTATCCGACTTCCTTGAAGTGTATTTAGAGGATTTGCTCTTGGGTTTATAAGAACATTCCCTGTCCTCCCAACAAGACCCTACAGGGGTTCTCTGGGGGGTAGTTTCTCTCGCTCCTAAATGAGACCGTGCACCAGGAGGGCACTCTTTGCTAAGTCAGGCTGAAGTATGGAGTGGGCCCCAGCCTGGGTCCGATTGCAACTTCAAAGTCTTCTCTATTAAAGCTTCTTAAGGTGGAGTTCCTGCACTTCACGGGTGCAGCTGGGGAAAGAGCTTCAAATACTACACCTTACCACAGTGTGATTTACCCAAGGCAGTACAGGCAGCTCCGATAACCATCATTGACTGAGAAGGAGCACAGATTTTGAAGCCTGGATTCCAGGGGATAGGTGGGGGGTGAGGGAAAGGGAGGGTGGAATTCCCCAGTATGGAGAATCTAACTATAAAACTTGGTTTAAGCTACTGGATAAAATTCTAAAAATATGTATTTACAGATAGAAGAATAAATGAAGATGAAGCTCTGGACACTGGAGGCTCCAACAAAGGCCATGCAGCAGTGAGAAGGAACTGGAAAGACAATCGGTCTGCTCCACCCTTTATGTCCTTGGTTGGATGCAAAATTGGATGCATGAGAAGAGCAGTGGTGCTTGCATGGACCAATGGACATTGCTTTCAAGAATTCTCCGACTCCTTGAATATGAAGCACATGCATAACCACAGCGAAAGACACACAGAGTAGCGCTTGAAGGCGAACCTATAATTTCACATCTTCCTACAGATTTTATAGCATATGCCCTCCTGCTGAAACTGCTCTAAATTGTATTCTGTTATTAGTGCAAAGCAGCCTTCTATTCTCACCCTGGTTTTCTTTTCCTTGCCATATCTTTGAGATTTTATAATAAATATTGTATGTTCATGAAAAACATTCACATGCATATTTTGTTTATGGAGATCTGCTTATTGTTGCCTTCAATGTTTGTTGGAAATATGGATATTACTACAAAAGTGTCTCAGAGGAACTCCATTAAAAATTAGCCTTAAGCATGAAGGAAAAATATACATTCAGCGGTGCCAATCCTGAGTGAAGGGATTTTTTCCACACATAGGAAGCAAAACCAATAAAATTGGAGAACCTCTTTTTGCTTTTCATGCATTTCTTCCTGCTTGGCAACTAGTGAAATTTAGGTGGGAAAAATATAGTTACCTAATTAAAATGCGGGCAGGACTTCAAGGTTCACAGTCCTATTCTTTCAAATAAATATCACAGGTTCTTTAGTGACTAGAAGTTTCAGGGCCTCAGTTTTAGTTTTCATCAATAGAAAGGACCCCTTGCCATCCTGGTGGGGCATCACTGAATCAGAGTAGGGTATTGACTATTGAATAATCAATGTTAGTTCCATTCCTGAAAAACATACGCTTTCCTTGAAGATCTCCAATCCATACTTAGCTATTAACTTGATATCTGAGATCACATGTTAAAGTGGCATGGCTGAAGCCACAAAACTAAGTGGAGCCTGCAGTGAGCAGGAATCATAATTCAGGCCTTCAGCTAACGCTAGTGCTTACTACTTTAGTCATTTATCCAAGATTTACGTTCAGTCTAGACAAGGTCATTTCTTCCAAGAAGTCAGAACAGAAAAGAAATTTATTCACTTAGGGGAGACAACCTGGTTTCTGGGATTTTTCAAAATTACATAAGAACTTTTTCTGACAAAATCTTTAAAGTTTAAAGTCTACTCTTAGACAAATACAAATCCTATTAATCAATCCAATGTCTACTTATACCCATTGAAGGGGTCACTCCCTTTGACGTGGCAGTCAAGAAACTAGAGGGTCCACTCAGATAGCCTTAGTAATGATTTCCCTCCAGGTAGTTTCATCCATTCTGTGATATACTGGTAGGCTATAGCAGTTGACTAGAACAGGGGTTCTCAACCTGGGGGGGTCAGGTTATTACATGGGGGGTTGTGAGCTGTCAGCCTCCACCCCAAACCCCGCTTTGCCTCCAGCATTTATAATGGTGTTAAATATATAAAAAAGTGTTTTTAATTTATAAGGGGGGGGGTCACACTCAGAGGCTTGCTGTGTGAAAGAGGTCACCAGTACAAAAGTTTGAGAACCACTGGACTAGAAGAAATGGTCACCTCCAAAATTACTTATTTTCACAAACAGAAAAATTCAACAAGTTGTGGGACTCATTGCTTCTTTTAAGGTACCTTTACCAGCAGTACATTAAGATTCCTTGCCTTAGAACCAGAAATATAACAACTTGTGGCTCCACCCACAGGGTAGATCTTTTAACAAATATTTTCTTTCAATGGAGTCATTGCCTCAGTAATGCTGTGGATAAGGCACTTGATGGCATAGTTAGAGAGAGCATCTCACTACCAAGAATTTTGTCAGAGCCAGTCTCCATCTACTTCTAAAGGTTTTTCTACCTGTTGCTGTTCCTACTATGCTTCAAGATTGGCTATTCCAAACCTTCTCCAGTTATTCATTTTGGAACTATTGCCTACAAAATCTTCCTCAGTTGCGAAACACCACAAGGTCTAACTGGGGCTCTGACTGTCCCAGAGAACATTCTTTCAATAGGAAGATTATCCTTTTTACAGGAAGTCTAGAATACGATCATCTCAGGTTGGATGGTCTCTAAAATGTGCAAGAAGGTCCACAAGAGTTTTTCCTTTCTCTTCCCCTTCAATCCAATCCTCCTGACCCCCAGTCCTCTAGAAAAAATAAGGGTATATATAGAGCCACCACCCAGGATCTGTAGCTAAAAGACAGATATATATGCCATTTACTGTCTAGAACCCCAAAGTTCACAGACAGCTATTTTTAGAGTGTCTACATGGGTGAGGTGTAATATCTTTTATTGGACCATCCGTTGGTGAGAGAGACATGCTTTCGAGCTTAGATAGTGCTCTTCTTCGGGTCATATTTTGTGGTATATCTTAGGTCAAAAATCACTGAACCAATCTATGTCCGAAGATTCTAAATCAAAGCCATCTATCAGTATGGATATTAGTAAAGGTAGAAATGGAGGATGCCTACTTGCACATTGTAACAGCAGATGGTGGTGTACAGTAACAAATTCTCACAGAGAAGGGCATATTAGCTCATGAAGTTTTTTTTATTTAAACACAGAAGTAGGAAGACTTTCTAGTCATCACTCAGAGATTTACAAAATAATTTTTCTCTTGCTATAATCCTCTCTGTTCTTCAATCCAACAAAAAGTATTGAGACACATCTTGGAGATAAGAGGCCATCTCCCCAGGATCTCCATAAGGAGATGGTGAAAACTCTGTGTTCTTTTTGGCAGAAGATCTCCCTCTCCATCCACCCTTGGCTGCCTCTCCAAAGCTTCTTTCCTGCACCTTGCAAAAGCCTTCAGGTACTATGTGTCACTTGGGGGACACTTCTTCATCAAGATCTAGAACATATCCCACCTACTTTCCTATGAGTGGAAAGCCTCCTTCAAGTGATAGAAGCAGTCCTTTTCAGGGACATGAATCTGAGAACCAAAGTGGTAACTGGCATTGTGAATGCCAATCTCATCAACTAGAGAGCTCCCATGAGTGTACAAAGGGAAACTATTTAGCAAAAATTCTCCCTATATATCACTTATCTAGAAAGGAAGAGTTATGTAAAAACTAGAGCAGGGTTGGGAGATCATCCGTCACACACAAGTTTTAGTTTGTAGAGATACCTAAATACTATTCAATGGATCAGGAACACCGGGGGAGGGGGGGGTGTCAAATTGACCACTAGCATAAATCAAGTATAATTTATTTCAAACAAATCGCACCCACTTACGCTAGCACTGAAATTGGCCCTGGAGTTCAAAGAGATGTTAGAGCAGAGTCTATTTCCTTTACAAGTGGAGCTATGATACTTAACCAATACTAAACTTAGTTAAAAAGTGTCAAAGAGAATCTCTCATAGTTGTTGGCTGTTGTGTTACAGAAGACCAACCTGATGGTAGATTCTCTTGCCTAGAGAACTGTACACTCAGTAGATCTTGGTTTTGATTTATTCTCTGCAAAGAAGGATCAGTCTGAGATAGATATTCTCTTTTTCAGGGAAACCAGTAATATATCTTCTAAAAAAGGTCCTCAGTAGTCAGAACTTAGGCCCAATTGTCACAACAGTGGCTGTGGCCAACAAATTTTCAAGAATTGTGAGCGCAACTAAAAAGTATGTAAAAGTTCATAAGGTGTTAAAATAAACTATAACAAATGTTGATGGGAAAAGGTACAAAAGGGAGACAGAATAACTAAATTAGGCTAAAGAAGGTAAAATTGAGATGATTCAAGGACTGTATTGAAATTATGCATAAAAAACAGATGTGGAGCCAGAAGTTAATGAGCCAAAATTGGTACATTGGATAGTAGGCCTAATTGGTGGACAAAATAATAAGAGGAGGGGCTATTCTACTCATCAATCCCTTTCTGGGTCCTTAAAAGAAAGATTTTGTGGGGAAAATGTGAAAGAACAAAAATACATAACACATACTTAAAATAACAGATGGAGACTACTGAACCAAACTTCATCATCGTGGCTGCCACTACCATCTCCTGGGACTTCTTCATCCTCATCGGGAAAAATGACCACACCAGGCCAGAGAGAGGGACCCAAAGGACATCACCAGCCTATTAGCTGGGATGAAAGGATTTTAACAGCAGCAACAGCTCCAGCTCTTGCTCATCTCAACTAACTTCTTTTCTCAGATGGATAGTTACTGCCATCATTAATACCATCAAATAGACTGTCAAACAAGGGTTTTTTCCTTCTAAAACTCTCTCCATCCTGAAGGGAAAGGGAACAAGATATTTTAAAATGAAAGTCTTATTTAATACTTCACATTGTAAATGCTTTAACTGTTTTGCCTTCTCTTCTCTATCTTTAATATAAGGTTAAAGGGCTTTTTAATGATGTTTGTGCCATGGTACTAAGCAGGCTGACATCTCTGCACACCAAATCCCTTGTTCAAATTGTTTAATGTTTGACGGTGACTGGGTTACATTAACACCTTTGGCCCATTTATTCTAACACTATCTTCTCTGCTTATGTAGCCCAGGCTAACACCAAGTGGCTCTTTGTCTTTCTTTAGTGGCTAGACTAGCCACTTTCTTTGCTAGTACCTTGAACTAATGGAATTGGTAATTTATATCTCTGGGTGAGTTGTCTGCCAGGTTTGAACACAGAATCTCTGAATTTAAAAGCAGAAGCCTCTACCTCTAGAGCCACAGGACCAGGTTGATTAGTTTAATGAAGTAGCATATTCATAAATTATTATTTGTTAACTCTACCCCAATTTTCCCTGTGTGACATGTTGGGCAAGTCATTTAAGTTGTAAATCTTGTTTTCTTACCTACAAAATGGGAATAATACTATTTACCTAATGCATACAGATGGATATGGGAGGTTAAAATGTTTGTAAAGTACTTGTTTGTAACAGACTTGCAAAGTATTATTTCTTATTTTAACTAAATCCTAGATTGATTGTATTGCTTTTCATTAAAATGGTGTTAGGAGAGGGTTGTTGGTTTTGTTTGTTTTAGTGTTCAATTAGGCTCAAATTTGTGGCTTTTGTTTACACTACAGTTTTCTTTTTCCTTCTCCTGCTACAGAAATATTGCCTTGAAATACTTGTGAAGCAGGAGGAAAAAAAATTAAAAATAAGAGTCAAGCTGTCCTACTTACTAGTAGGTGCAATATATACCTTCAAACGAGACTCATGCTTCTGAAGTCAGGTAAGAAATGATATCCAACCTTTTATAGCTCTTCTCTTCCAGTGACATTTCCAACAACCTCAAATCTTACCAATTTGCTAAGAGAATGTGTTGCTAGCTAAACATGCCTAGCAATGGACTAGTCCACTATCCAAGAACTGCATTAACATTTTGAACTTATCTCCAGAGCTAGCTTTTCCTAGTGATCAAACCCACTACAAATGTGGTAACATGCAATTGCCAGGGGAAAAATTGATTTCATCTACCTCTGCTATGACTTCTGCTACTCCAAAGGAAATTGGTTTCAGCCCTTCTCTCTAGTAGACAGTAGTAGTAGTAGTAGTAGTATCAGAAGGCATGTAAGGGAGAGAGAAATAGATTAGATACAGAGAGAGAAAAAAAAGTGGATTTTAATGAAGGCACACACTTGACAGGTCTATCACTAGCTCCCTCCTATATTTCATAAGCACAGCTAGCTGCATGATCTGGGAAGTTTTCCCGCTTTTGGGAAGAGGAGAGAAAGAATTAAAACTACAAAGGGCATGTCACTGGGTGGGCTCCCTCACCCTGGACTTCCCTTTGCAAGCAGTCCTCACACATTCTTATGTAAATTCACCACAGTGCACTTTATTTTCAATGTTTTATGCAGCTTCATGTTCCGTCACCATAAGGCTTTCCCCAAGTTTCAGCAGACCCGTTAGGCATGGGGGGGGGGGGGGGGGGAAGGGGAAGAGGTCTCACCTCTGTGAGGTCCTAAGTGTCTTTGCCCTTCTTTCCAGCCTCTCTTTCCCCCCCTCTGCCTTCCTGTCTCCAGTTTAACAGTCCCCAGCTGACAAGTTAATCCTCATGTTAACTGGTTAATCACCCAGACCTAATCAATTGCCTCCCTATTTGTGCACTTTGTAAGCGTCCCCACATGTGCCAGAGTGGTGAGGCAATCTTAGGCTACTTCTGCCACAGGACAGAACTACACCACCGTGTGGAGCTTGGAAGACACGTCCTGGGGTTACAGAGGGGTTGCGGGGGGGAAAGCATGAGCCACCTATCCATTCTATTTTACATGGGTAGATAAAATGCACTGCCTCTGACCACATTAAAAAAAAAACCACACACATCTAAAGTGCAGAATACTGCATAATCTTAAATTGCTCGAACTATATCATCTATGCCATATAACATCAAATAGCTAGAGAAACACATACAGTAGGGTAACATTTTAGATCATAATCTTGATTGTTTCAAGACTAGTCACTGCATCAAAACTTAAAATTAAGCCTTTGAATATAACCTTTTTCCTATCACTAATCTGAAGAGTCAACATTTTACACTGCAGATTTTGACATGGTATTACTTGGTACAGATTTTGATTGCTTCTATTATGCAGACTTTGAAATTCAGAAGTAAAAAAATAAATCACACCTTACTATTGTATATTTCAGTACTTCCTTATGCCAGCTATAATTAGTGGCAAAAAACAGGATGACAAAACATTGAATTATTTTACACCTTTACAGTGAATTAACTGCATCTTATTTTTTTTGTTTTTGAAACAGTGGACAATCAATGCACAAAGGAACTTATTTACATGGAGCATCATCACATTCATCTTTGTTGGATCATCTCATGTAACCACGCAAAATGCTTGGCTGATGAAGGTTGGTGCAGACTTAGAATGTAACAGATGATGATCAGTTATTATGCAGAGAACAGTAAAAGAAAAATAGCTAACAATGAGTTACAATGTTAGGTTTTTACATTCTACAAACTGAGTAAAGATGGAGTAGACCTTTTTTATGAATTTACAGAGTTGAAGAAAGGACTTGGTTTAAACCAACTGAAAACTTCTTCCGAGATTATGGAAGTGAGGCTGGTTTAAAGTAGAGTTATAATGTTATGAGTAGAGAGTCAGATCTCCTTACTTCGCTGATTTTTTTTTTTAACTCTGGCATCAGCACTGTCACACCACTTTTGCTATAGAAGAGCAAAAATTCTGATGTGTTTCATGCATCTACAGGAATAGCAAGCTAACGTTTGGTTACATTATCGTTGTTCTTTACACCTCTTACATCACCCCAATACTACAACTTAATTACAAACTCTAGGTGGAGTATGTAGTGCTGGCAATTTTACATAAATGGAGTATATTTGATATAGAAATTCTTGAGTAAAAACGAGCAATCCAGTGACATTCTTTTTACAATCACTTTTCTGATAATAACCACACTTTAAAATTTCTCTTGTAGATACTAAGGATTGCTTTCATTTGATATTAGATTATACCTCTTAGTAGTCAATTCCATGCAAATTAACCAACTAAATAAATCAATGACTGCCTACTTCTCTAGACAGAAAAGACACTTGTTGCAGGTGCTGAATGGTCAACCTATACTAAATTTAATAATAAGATTCTGACTTAGTGAACTATAGGTATTAGATCACTATTTGATGTTTGCAAAGAGTACTGAAATATGTTAATATTCATTTTGTTTTAAAATTGAAACATTTCATAAAGGATCTTGCATTGAGATTCACTATCATTATATTGCTTACTTTAAACAGATTCAGCTCTCTTGTAATCCATTAACTCAGTATACTCTTTTCCATATAGTTCCACCTAACAAATTGTAAAAAGTAAAACTCAGAATGTATCTTTCTTTGTAAGGATTAACATTAATTACTTGAACATCTAGCCCCACCCCAGCCAAAAACATTTATGAAACTTAAAATGTGATGTTTTAAAAGGTATTAAAATATGATCAGAAAATTGGAATGAAGAAATGTTTAGTAAGGTAAAGCATAATACATTTTAACCAGGTCAGTAGTTGTCCATTTGAAATAACCTATAATTAACATTGGATTTTTAAAAGTTTAACAGTAACACCAAGGAATGAGGTATGTAAGTTTTTAGATATCACATCAGACTTTCATTTTATGCAACTAACTGTATTTCACAACTCGCATCTTACAAAATAGACAGTACCATTGTGCCTGTAGAAGTACTGCATTAAAAAACAGAAAGATACATTACTACAAGAAACCACCAAACATCACAATTATCAGGGTCTACAAAAATCCATTATTTTAGCTGTTATCAGGATGCATCATATGAAGATATTTTAGGGCTGGATTCACTACCAAAAAAAGTCCATCCCACTTTCACATTGGCCCAAAAATACATATTTTGAATGAGACACAAAGAGAAGAGAGAATTACTGGGATGTGAATGGGCTTCCTTTGGACAGGAGCCAGATGCATTTTTGTATTGAATCTGACCCTATAATTTAAATCTATATATGGATTTTTTTGTGCATAAAAAAAACCCAACACCTAGTTGTAAACAAAAATGCGAAATCTGTATTCATAAAAATATTTTATTGGTTATTTTACATAATACCGGGTGGGACTGTAAATATTTTTGCTCTGTATCAGTATATTGCTAAATGCATAAATGTTGACAGTTTATGCCAGAAAATAGGGTACTGCATTTATGACTGATGCTACAGTATTTAATAAAGGGCCAATTCAAAATCAAAGAAGCTGATCTAAGAACAAAATGTGATAGTATTCCTTATTTCCTTACTCCTGTGCAACATAGTATTTTTGTACTACACTGATATGCGACTATGACACTGGGCAAGTTTGGGGCAAGGAAATAATGCTAAGCAGAAATGAAAACTGTACTAAAAAGTTATTTTTAAAGCTTTTCCAGAATTTCAGATTTTAAAATTTTACTTTTTGCCAAATGCTTAGTCATTTGAGATTTGATATCGGGTTATAGAACATAGACTATCAGTGTCTAATGACAATGTAGTACTGTATCTGAATTATAAAGCTAAATAACCAACGTTCATAGTATGTTCACTCTTTTTGTTCGTAAACATTACAATAAGTGTTTTAAGTGTGAGGAAAATATTGGTAAAACCAGCAACATAATTCAGTAACAGTAATTTAGTAAACGATGTCAAACATTGGCAAAAATTCATACAAATGTTTTATTTAATAACATTTTTCCTATTTAAGCACACCAAGTACCAGCAGGTGTTTTTAAGAAGATAATAATTATGAAAATTCTGTTGCAGCAATAGTTGATTAAGTTGATCTTTGATTTGCATACATATAACTATGTTTCACAATTCTCAAATAATACATATTTAGGCAGCTTGAACTATGTTATAAAAATTTTAATTCAGTACATGCCAATAGTAGAGACTCCAAGAGTTGTGTTAGAATTCACTAAACTAAAAGTGAAAATGGACTTACCAATAACACTGCATAATGAACATTCAAACCACATTTTCATGGCACCTTTAAATGTGAAGATTAAAAAGTTAGTCTGAAAATGCTTTGTAGGCATTTGTTGATTGCATTTAAATTATTATTTCTACTGCTTCACTTCACTTTTGTAAAACTGCATAAATTATGTTCCAGTAAACATATCAATTGTGCATGGATAATCTGTCATGAAAATGTGGTAGCTGTTGGCAGAAGTTGTGTATTTGCATGTTTTGAAGAGAAGAGACTAAAGAAACTGGAGAAAAAAAACTTTAATGAGATTCTCCATTCAACGATGAGGCTTCTCCTCTGGGCGAAGATGACCTGGACATTCCCCTCTCTGTATTGTCAGAGCTAGAACCACTCTGACTGTGTTGATCTGCAGATGCGGTACTGGAAGCAGGTGGTGACTTAGTTTTCTCCTTAAAGTCTGTAATAATGACTGTCAGATCTCCAACGGTAACTTCCAAATGCTGGGCACTACTCCGATCCACATTTTTCAATCTTGGCCTAAATAAAACAGAATCAAATTAAAAGCTAGAAGCTTCCACATCCCATAATCCTCTTGCCACTCCAATTTTTAGTGATCTTTGTAGAAAACGTATAACTTAGTGAAATACTGCACACAGCAATATTATGAATACATAAAATGAGAATGTACCACATAGCTAGCAACTCTATACTGTAATATTTAAATTTTTCTTCACCTCTAAATAATTTGATTTGAACAGGGCCCCCTGGATAATGCGATTAAGGTGGTCACAAAACCGTACTCCACATTTTAAAATTTTTGCTTGTAAAAAATTACCGTATATACTCGTTCATTAGCCCATTCGTTTATAAGCCGACCCCCCAAAATGGATAGGTAAAAATAGCAAAAACTGTATGACCCTTTCATAAGCCGACCCTATATTTCAGGGGTTGGAAAACTTTGGCTCCCAGCCCTTCAGGGTAAGCCGCTGGCGGGTTGGGACATTTTGTTTACCTGGAGCGTTCACAGGCATGGAGCCTCTCAGCTCCCAGTGGCCACGGTTTGTCGTTCCCAGCCAATGGGAGCTGCGGGAAGTGGTGCCATTTCCCGCAGCTTCCATTGGCCGGGAACGGCAAACCGCGGCCACTGGGAGCTGAGGGGCTCTGTGCCTGCAGATGCTCCTAGTAAACAAAACGACAATGTATTAGATAGTCAATTCAATGATTCCACAGAGTTTAAAATCATCAAATTTTGGTGTAGACCCGTTTATAAGCCGACCCATGCTCTTTGATGCGTCACTTTTTTACCAAAAATATTTGGCTTATGAACGAGTATATACAGTAAGTCTCTAGCCTTCATGGCTGCAAAGAATGTTCAAAATATGACCCCACAGTAATATCAGTGACAGCAGACAGCCTGAAACAACAGCCCTGAGAAGCATGAACTTCTCCATTCATCTCAGTGGGTGTTGACTTTAAGTTCTTAGTATGCAGAAACCAGCTCCCATGTCCTCTAACCAGTTGTTTCTAAACTTCTACTGTGCAGGTATTAGCAAATACAAATTCTGCAGCACACTGAAAATTTAAAATTTGAAGTGGGCATCATGTAAATAGAATTTAATTTTAAAATAATTTACATACAACACACTATGATGACAGGGCTGGAGTCTGGGTTCCCTGATGCATAAATTTAATACTAATATCCTGCATAGGACATGGGGCCACAAACTCTGGTTTGATTACTACTTTTTTTTTTTTTTTTTTTTTTGAACAGAACATTTAAACTATATTCCATCAACTTGGTCTTTGCAGGTGCTAGTGCAATGGGTGATCTAGGCATGAAACACTTTAAGTTGCTAGTTTTCTGTGTGTGCCAGGTGACAAAGCATGTCACCACAGCAGCCGAAAATACCTGCTGACAACAGCAGCACAGCACACAGCAAGCCTTTTAAAAATGACCTACGGAACCTATATTTGATTCCACAACTTTCTCCAGGCCAAGCTTGGAAGTAAAGAAATTAACATGAAACCAAGATTTGGCAGGTGTGCTCCTAAAAGCAAATCTTAACCCTCACCTCACCTACACAGGGATTTAGAGCCCTGCCTCAAGTAGAACTGATGCTGAATCACCTCACCCCACCTTTTGCACTCCCACGCAGCCAAGAGTTGAAGCTGCATAAGAGTTCACAGGGAGCCCAATGCGACTCTTGCCCCAAGGCTGAGCTGGCATTAATAAAGAGCCTAACTGGTTGTTCGAAGATGTGGGAGTGGAGAGGAAGGATTCACTTTTGCCAGCCTGAATGGGCTGCATGCCAGAGAGAAAATGTAGGGCTTACTATATGCAGATTTTGTTATACATATTTCTGGAAACATTTAAATGTGCTCCTTTTTCAAGTAATCCACGTAGAAACTAAGGTGAGCATTCTTAATCAGAACCCAGTCTAGCCAAAATCAGATAGTACTTTTTTTTTTTACTTGTATGTAATACTTGAGTGTTTGAATATGGAAACCAGTAGGTTGATTTCTCTTCACTATTAATTTTTCAAGCAATTCTTTGTACAGCTCTTACTGAGATTTTTATTTTTAAACAATAGTCCCAGCCAGAGGCATGCACATGGGAGGGCAAGCAGTGGCACGGGCCCCCTTCAATAATCGGCAAGGTCACAGAGCTCCGCTCACTCTCTCTGCCATGGCCCTGGGGTGGGTAGAGCTCTGTGACCCCACCACAGCCAAGTCCTTGTGGATACATTTATTCAAATGGCTCCACTGCACATGGATTTTCATTGAAGTGGTGAGTGTTTATTTCTATGTATGTGATGTACATGTGTGTGCTGATATGGTTTAATGTGTGTGTTTAATGTGCCCTTCCAAAAGCGGTCAAATTTAAATTCCTGTGCATATCCCTGTTCCCAGCCCTTGCAATATCACCCTCTCTCACTTCTCATGTAATAAGACTATTTAACCTTCAGCATTCCCACATAATTGTTACCATTCAAAACAATACCTCTAAAGATACTAACTTACAAATGTTACACTCTAGCCAGCCAAAATGTATAATTAGAAATAAGACAAACATTACAAAAATCCTTTATCCCAGCTCTGTTCATTTCCTTCCTGTTGAAAAAAATAGTCCCAACCTTTTCAACGTAAATTTGGGGAGTACTCTTTACTCTTTCTGGAGCAGTCCCTGAATAACACTGAAGGTCCTGTTTCATCCAATGCATGGAAAATGTCTGCTACATCTCTGCAGAAGTGATTCCATAGAATCTTCCTTGGCTGAATTCTGCCTCACAGACTGCAGCACTTCCAAAACACACAGTGACACTATTTCCCTACATTTTCTCTTCCTCTTTTAAGCAGGTTGCATCTCTTTCAGTCTTCTCAGGTTTTCAGTTACATATTTGTGACTAAACTAACTTTATACTTAATTTGGGGAAATCTAGACACAAGCAATATTGTCCCAGAGCTATGCAAACAACTGATTTTTTGGGTTGCTTGCAGTTCCAAAAGATAAATTACAAAAAAATCAATTTGGATCAACCCAGAGAGGAACTTTTTCTAGGTTTTCAGTGAATTGAAAAGTTATAAAAATTAGTTTCAGGTTAAATGAAATGTTTCTTTTTACCTGAAACAATGTATGTATGTATGTATGTTTTTAATTAACACTGAGTGGGTGTTTTTAGTTTTTTTAAAATGACATTGAAGGAAATACTGAAACAGTCCATTTGAATTAAAAAAAAAAAATCAAAACATTTCATTTTGCAAATATTAAAACAAAATGTTTAGACATTTTTGGATTTTGTTTTTCCCCCAACACAAAATTTGGCAATGCTGACACAAATTCATGAAAATTTTTCTGTATCACCGAATCTGTATTTTTGGCTGAAAAATTTCACCCAGTTCTACTTGTGTCTAACATCCTACATTTTTCCTTCCAACTGCAGGCTGCTCCTAGTCCATGGCAAGATCAAGACTTTGCGGCTACTTGCTTGAACTGTCATATTTCAGACTGGTATTCTAAGAGTCCAAGATATCCTTCAGTATCTCAATCTACTATGTATGTTTTCAGCTTCATAAGTCAGTTTGTCTCCAAAAGTCGCTATTCTAGCCTTTGTTCCTTATCCCAAATTCTGCATGAATACCAACAACTCTACCTTGCCTACTTCTCCAGAACCTTATATTCCCTTTTCTCATCCAATTCTGTATAAAAACTAGTCACTTTCCTCTTCTCCTGGTTTACTGGAACGTTATATCTTCCATTTTTCTGTCTACAAATCATTTTGCTAGATGAGGAAAACTCTATGCCTTTACTGACAATACCTAATTTTCCCTCTCTTATTTAGTCTCCATCTTGTGGTCAAAACTACAAACTGCAAGATTGCTTCACATTAAACAACAGCATCATAAAACAATGGAACTTCAACAAATATTTAGTCTAATTTTAAAATGACTTAAGAGAATACTTACACTAGTGATGAAAAATGTGCATCATTTAATATTTTACAAATACCAACAGCTTTTAATTTACCTGGTTTTCTTATGACTGTTCTTTTTGCTAGTTGTTTCCTTTTCACTTTTTTCCTTTTCTACTTTGTCTTTTTTCTCTTTCTTTGATTGTGTAGGGGGCACAAATTGCTGAGTAACCTGTTGTGCAACCAGCTGAGAGACAGGTCGAGGTTTCCTGTGAACACACATATATTTATTATTTAGATTTTATAGTGCCAGTTTTATACTCTACATTTCACTGTAATTAAAACAATAGTCAATACAAAATGCAAGACTGTTAAACACATCAAACTGCCAACAGTTCATAGTAATAGCATATCCAATTCAAACTCACTGTATCCTGCCCATTAGCCTACTAATCCACCAAAAGAGACACATTTTAAGGATTTAGAGACAGGGCTTTGTGCAATGTGTGAAGAGGTGTATCAACCCTGCACTGGCAACATAAGGGTTAACCCAATACTGTGGGCACAGGAGGCCACACCCCTAAGCCATTGCTGGGCATGCTCCCAATGGAGGGAGCATATAAAAGTATGCAGCTCAGTCTGGGCTGGCTGAGGAGGAGAGGACATGCACGGTAGGCTGCTGCTAAGAAGACACCAGAGCTCCAAACCACTGAGGCAGAGCATCCTGACTATGCCACGAGACCCCAGTTGACCACGGAGATGAGAGAGGATGACGAGCTGCTATCAACAAGGAGCTACAGAATTGGGATTAATGGTAGGAAGTGACCCACGGTACACATTTGGGCATACTAAAACCAGAACCCTATACCAGGGTACCTGGTTGTCATAGGGCCTTGGCCTGGAACCCAGTGGAGTATGGAGGCCCCTACCTTCCCCACAATTGCCCATAGGCACTATTGCCACTAAAGAGAGCAGCTCCTTAGACTTGCTGTTGGGCAACCACTGCCACCAAGAGAGAGGCGGCCCCATAGACTGTTGCTGTGGGACAATTTGGCCGCCGAAGTAAGTGGCCAGTTATTGGACTTTCACTGCTAGGCGATGTGGCCACTGAAGTATGAGGCCCCTTCTTGGACCCCAGTTGACTCACTGACACTGTGTGCCCAGAAAATTAATATATATAGACACACCAAAGGTGGTGATCTCTGGAATAGGAAGAGCCTTCACAGAGAATGCCCAGTCAGAAGCACCCACCTGTTTAATTTAAAGGTCCCCAGTTTGAGCACATCTGCGGATAGCAAATGCAGTAATATCACATGGGGAAAGAGCTGATCTTTCAGCTCACTAGCTCCCAAGCCATTGTGGGCTTTATAGATTAAATCCTATACCCTTGAACTCCACACAGAAACTTCTTTGTTATATATTTTGTAATTTTTATACTATTTAGAAATAAAAATAAAAAATAAAAAAGAAAAAATCAAAATGAAACATTTTGATTAATTATAATAAAAATAAATAAATCAGATTTTTCTTTTGCAGAATTTTGAAATTTTCAGGGTTCATTATGATTCCAAAAACAAAATTTCCATCTTCTGTGTAGCTCTAGATATTCCTTAGAAAAATAAGCATTGTGAAACCATGAGCATTGCACAATAACATTCAGAAAATACAAAGCAGTTGTTAAATCAAGCTTGAAATGCTGCTATTTCTAATGCACACTTAGGTTTTGTCTACACATACAGCTGCTTTCTGCAGTGCCTCTGGTGAAGATGCTCTATACCAGATGTGACCTAACTATGGCTCATGAGCTGCATGCGGCTCTTTTTACACTTAAAGTGCGGCTCGCGGAGCTCACCATGCACACCCCCTCCCATTCTGCACCTACCAAGACTGAGCGGGGGGAGCTCGGGGCTGCTGCCCTGTGGCGGAGTGGTGGGACTAGGGGCTTCAGCCCTGCAGGGAGGTGTCGGGACAGAAGCCCCGTGCCCCAGCAGGCACCACCCCGCAGGGCAGCTTGTGTTTTATCTTGTGGCTCTTGAACTTCTGAAGATTATTAAATGCAGCTCAGGGGGTCAGTCAAGTTTGGCCACTCCTATACCGAGTCTATACCGATGGGAGAGAGCTCTCTCGCCAACATAGCGCTGACCACACCGATGCTTATGTCAGTGTAACTTATGTTGCTCAGAAGGGTGGCTTATTCACCCCCCCGAGTGACATAAGTTACGCCAACAGAAACTGTAGTGTAGACATAGCCTTATTTAATTTAGTCTGCAGGTTCACTTCTTCAGCATTTGTTGCTTTGGTGTAACATTAATTGAAATAGCAAGCAGAATGCCAACGTAAATGCCTTCAGCAAGTTATAGTATTTTCAGTAACTACCGTTATTGTTAAGGTTACATATAGAGTTCCCCTGTCAAGCTGAGAGGCCAGAGTGCTGGAGACACAATTAGACTGATGCAATGGACAGAAATTGAAACCTAGGTTCACCCAACACCCAGACATGAAGTAAAAACACCAGAACAACAAATGGGGGTAGAAAACCAGCACCCAATTAGTCAGTGAGAACTATACAGTTTATGTCAGAAGGCAACACATATGACTATTTTCTTTGTGGCCAAGTGGCGTACATTTGCACTTGATATTGGCATGTAGTGCATGACTGTCAGAGCATCTTGAGGCCAGAACTGCTGAACTAAAATAGCAGACAGTAGCTGAAATATTTATATGGAAATAGATACACAGATTTTTCAAGGTCACAAGGGACCATTGTGATTGTCTAGGCTCACCTTCTGCTTAACACAAGCCATAGGACTTCCTTGTATACCCCTGCTTCAGGTCCAATAACTGTGCTTGAACTATAGTACACTTTTAGAAAAAAAACCACCTATCTTGATTTAAAAATGTCCAATGATGGAAACATCACAAACCTTGGTAAGTTGTTCCAATGATTAATTCTCCTCACCGTTACATAAATAAATAAAATGTGCCCCTTACTTTTAATCTGAATTTGTCTAGCTTCAGCTTACAGCCACTGGTTCTTGTAAGACCTTTTTCTGCTAAAGTAAGAACCTTCTATTATCAAACCTCTGTCCCCCTTGTAGGTACTTATAAACTGTGAGAAGATAAATTGCATTATAATGGAAGATTTAAGGAGCTCATATTCTCTAATCCTTTAATCATTCTCATGGCTATTCTCTGAATTCTCTCCAATTTTTCAACATTCTTCTTAAAGTATGAACACCAAATCTAGACAGTATTCCAAGAATCGCATTAACCCTTTTGGCCACAGTGTCACACTGGGAACTCATGTTCAATTGATTATGCACCATGACCCTCAAATCTTTTTCAGAGTCATTACCTCCCAGGATAAATCTCCCATCTTTTAAGTGTGGCCTACATTCTTTGTTCCTAGATAGATGACCCTTACGTTTGGCAGTACTGAAATGCATATCGTTTGCCTAAACTCAGATTACCAAATGATCCAAATTACTCTGCATCAGTGACCCGTCCTCTTCATTATTTACTATTCTCACAATCTTTGTCTCATCTGCAAACTTTATCAGTAACAATTTTATGGTTTTTTCCCCAACTCCTTGATAAACTTGCATAGGAAGAACCAATCCCTGTGGAATCCCACTAGAAACATAGCCACGCAACAATGATGTCCCATTTATAATTGCATTTTGGGCCCAGTTTTTAATCCTTTTAATGTTCTAGTTTATTAGTCAAGAGATCATGTGGTACCAAGTCAAATGCCTTCTGGCATAAGTATATTACATCAACTCTTAGATTACAAGTTTACTTGATAAAGGTATCAAAAAAGATATCACCTTAGTTTGACAGTATTTATCTTCTGTAAATCCATGTTGATTGGCATTAATTATATTACTGTCCTTTAATTCTTTATTAAGCGAATCCCATTTCAGCCACTCCATGATTTTGCCCAGAATCAGTGTCAGGCTGGGTCATTCCTTTTAACCTTTTTAAATACTGCCACATTAACATTCTTTCAGTCCTCTAGCTAGACCGTCCCCAGTGTCCCAAGACTGATTGAAAAATCAACATTACCCATTTGGAGACCTCTTCAGCAACCTATTGGATGCAAGTTATCTAAACCTACTGATTTCAAAAAACATGAGAATCCCAGCAGGAGTAGACATACATGCACTAGTTCTCCTCAAGCTAACACAACAAACAGCAGTGTGATCACAGAAACATGACAAATAGCAGTGTCTCAGGCTACCCACCCAAGTATGTACCCAGGGGGTCAAGCAGGATTCTACTCAGGCAGCTCGCCTGAGTCACTGCCCATGCCGCTATAGCCACACTGCTATTTTTAGGTGCTAACACAAGCAAAGCTAGCACAGACGTCTACCAATACTGAGAATCACTCCTCCCAGCTGCTGTATAGACATACCCTCGGTTACTGTGTGTGAGGGTGAAAAGTATTTCAGTATCATCAGATGATATAAATGCAACATCTGGCTTCTTGCTAAATAAAGTTTATTTAAAAACTTTTTCCTTTTTTACATCATTACTATTATTTCTGCCACGTCCCTCTAGTAATGTTAGAATTGTTTCGTACTTGATATACTTAAACACCTTTTTATTGTCCTTAATGCTTCTAACAGATTTCTCCATGTGTCCTTCTGCTTCCCTTATCAATTTTCTACACTTCCTAAACTTCTAATTTACATTCAATACTATCAACTTCATTCTTCTATTTTATTTTTATATTATACACACACACATGTATACACAGCTTCCACTTCCCCTTTAAGCCAGGCTTTTTTTTATTTGTTTTAAAAATCAGTGTAGCCTTTTCTCTCTGGGATTGTGGATTTGGGGGCATCTACTAAAATGTTCTTAAACAATTCCCAATTATCATTCACATTTTTCTGTTTAAGTTCTTTCTCCCAGATGATTCAGCTCAAATATTTTCAACTTTGTAAATTTGACCCTTTCAACTAAGTACGTATTACTGATTTGTTTGCACATAAATGTATTCAAGTCATGATCACGTGCAACTAAATAACCACAAATTTTTACTTCTGAAATCAATTCCTCTTAATCTGTCAACATGAGATCTTATACAGAATTCCCTCATATTGAATGCAACACTTTTTGAGTTAGGGACTTGTCAGCTGTAATATTTAGAACTTCCGAGGAAATAGTAATACTTGCTGCATGAGATCTCCAGCATATGTCATTCAGACTGAAGTCACCCACAATAATGCAGCTTCCCCCCTCAACCCTCACTAGGCATTATTGA